TCGCTACAGTAGCGAACTACAACTACTTCGCTACTACCCACCCTTGGAAGCCGGTCCCCCCCCCCCCAATCTTTTGATGCTTCCTACGCCCCTGCTTGAACAACTTTCGTTCGCAATTACACTGTGATCCATCACTCAGTGGCTTATTTTAATATAATTATCCCCCCCCCCCACCTCATCCCGGCAAAGAGGGATCATATAAGCAGCCCCTTAGTTGCTACACAGCCGTTATGTTGAAAAATTTATTTGTTGGAATTAACTGCATCAAGCTGGAGCGTTGGTGAGTTTTAGGGACAATCACTCGCCGCGCCAGGATCTGAGAATCGGCATCAACTATTTCGCTGACCTCAGAATGACATTTTGTCAAAACGTTTTTCTTCAAGATTGGTTTAGAAACAAATTTGAAATTTGTAATAGGGTTAGGTTAGGGTTAGGGTAAGGATTAGGGTTATGGTTAGAGTTGGTGTTTGGAGTAGGGTTAGTGTTAGTAGAACCGTTCCTTTGTTACGTTTTGTCACTTTTTGAGGCAAGCGAAATAATCTCTTCCCTCAGAATCGGTCCGCTGTTCCGATTGAGTTGCGAAGGTGTTCCGTCGTTCTCCGAAGCCGTGTTGATTTTAAACATGGCGCTCGCAATACGGCAGTTATGTCGGCTAGCGTCAAGACAAGTCCAACGACCAAGAACTCTGTTATCAAGAGTAAGTTTGGATTTATTTCTTCTATTCTCTTGCAATAAATGCTACAATTTTAACTTATGTGTTAGGTCTGCGGATCTCAAATTGGGCAAGATCATTGTCGATATTTATCACTACATGAATACCAAAGCATACAACTGCTTGAAGATGCCGGTGTATTGACACCTAAAGGAGGTGTAGCAGAAACACCACAGCAAGCTTATGAAATTGGTGAAGTCATTGGTAAGTACATACTGTCAGTTGTTGATTAAAATGGTTAAATAGATGGCAGATGTAAGTTTTTCCAGTTAATGGATGCCTATAGAGTATAGACTGCAGCAGTTGTCGACAAGGTCTCGATTGTGCAAGAGAAAAATTTGGTGTGCAAGCGTGCAATCTTGTCTGAAATTATTCAAGTGTGCACTTAAGTTGGGGTTAGTGTTTAAAATTACCAATAATATGCAACAAATACAAGTTTGTAGGAACAAAATATAGTTAGAAATGACTATTTATATGTAAATATAATCACTACAGTACACTATACAGTACAGTATGTCCAGCAATTTCCGGTACGAAATGTCAGCTTTATAAATTAACATAGACTATCATTATTATAAAAAGGTAGTTACAGTCTTACATGATTAAAAGCAAATTATTACTTTATAGTCAATAGGCTATATGAATATTTTCATTCGGAACTGTTCCACTGTAATTTAGGTATTGATTTGAGTAGATTAATTAGGTATTCAAATCATTTCAATAATCAGGTATTTAATAATTTTGATATTGAATTAGAGACGGACCATTAGAAATCCCGGGAGGGGGGGTGAAAATTAAAAAAAAAATTTGTGCAAAGAAAAATGCCTGGAAAAAAAATTTGTGCAGCCATTACGTTAGTCTCCCTCGCAGACGTTCTTATAGCTCTAACCCTCGCTAACTAACGTCTGCTGAAATGAGCTGCACATTCCATTCCCTCCGATCGACCAATCACAGCGAACCTTCTATATTATTTCGGAAAGTGATTTACGGGCGGAATAAATAGTACATAAATATTTTTATATTTTGAAAGCAGTCGTCGGTTGAATTTTGGTCAAGTTGCACATAAATTGAATTTAAAGACATTGATACTTGTCCAGGAAATAAAATGCGCCATTAATTATCAGATTCGGATATTAAAGATGTTCGGTTATATTTAAAACGTGGACAGGATGGCATACTCGAGGGCATACTGTATTAATCTAGTGGCGACAGCATCAAATGCAGAATATATTTCGCTGAAATTTGAACTTTTGACAGATATATATCTTTAAGACAACAGAACTCAGAAGACAGAAAATTTGATATAATACTGTGGCTTAGAAAGCGAAATATTAGTTTCAAAGTAAACTAATTTGCTGTTTGAGCAACGACTTCTGACTTTTGAATGTAAACACAACACAAATAAAACCCGAGAAACTTTTAATTGCGCCGATATGAATTTCCAGTTCGCCAAACTTCGAAACGTTTATACATGTAACTTCGCTATACTTTTCTACATGCAACGAGAGCTTAATCTTTTAGAATTTTTCGTCGAAGCCATGGCATATCGGAAGAATTTAATAGCAACATTTGGACATATCCTGATCTACTCGTTCTCGAGTTTCCCGATTGCTTGTTTGTCATTGTTAACAAAATTTAAAATTTCGCCTGTTGCATAGCTTTTGCATTTTATATACGCCGGTTGTTTGCAGAACATGCGAGAAGATGATCACAATATTATTCTACGTAAACATCGTGAAGTTCAAGGCTATAGTTTCCAAAATATCTCCACGCAAGTAAACAAATTTTAACCCAAACAATATATTCCCATGTGTAAGGGCTTTCCCCAGTAGCTAAACCCTCAATAAGGCGGCTTCCAATTGGCTCTAACTCTTTTGAACACTGCCAGATGATTGGCTCCTAAAACAAAGGGAATGGAATGTGCAGCTTGTTTCAGCAGACGTTAGTTAGCGAGGGTTAGAGCTATAAGAACGTCTGCGAGGGAGACTACCATTACGTCAGAGAAAAAAAATTTGTGCAAGCAAACAGCAAAGTACAAATAGTCTTGAAAAAAAATTCGTGCAGAGGTTAAATGCATTAAAAAAAATCCTGGAGAGACATGAGACTGAAAAAAAATTTTTAATGGTCCGCCCCTTAGTGTCATTTTCAGAATTAGCTGTCAAACATAAAAATGTCTGTGAAATCTGCAGAATGTAGATCCCCAAAAACTTTCGGGGAACTATGTTCTCAGGTTCCGATACATTTCCCACCTCTGTAAAGAGGTCGGATTCATGATAATTTACTATTTCCAAAAGTCTATGACTAAGCTATTCAACTTCATTATGATATGTATATAACTGTAGGTGCAGATGATCTGGTCCTTAAAGCACAAGTCCTTGCTGGTGGCAGAGGAAAAGGTGTGTTTGAAGGAGGCTTACATGGAGGAGTGAGGATTGTATTTAGGTAATTGTTTTAGGTAAATTGTTTGAAACTGTGTATTAACTTTAAAGGATTAGTATCACACCATGGTATTAATATTGTGGGCTTTTGTTATTGTTTCTATGTTATCCAAATCAACAAATAACAATAAAAATGTCTTGCTACAGTACAATACTGTCACTACTAGGTACATTTCTAATGAGAATCAGATAAAAG